AAACAGCTAAACAGCGATGTGGGTATTACCGTTACGGACCAAAATGGTGGCATGACTATTTCACAGGAGGAAGACCAAATAGCCACCCCTCAAATAAACCCTGCAATAGTGCTGAGAAAGCTGCAGCGACTTATACCTGGGAAGTCCCCAGGTTGTGATGACATCAGGCCACCTGTTCTGAAACAGTGCGCCGAAGCTCTCTGCAGGCCTTTATGCGACTTGTTCCAACACTCCATGGAATCGAGGAAGCTGCCAAGGGAATGGAAAAGAAGTATCCTTTCTCCGATCTTCAAGGGTGGGGATAGGCAAAATCCCACCAGCTATAGATCAGTAGCTCTACTCCCAGTGGTATCGAAAGTACTGGAAATTATTATTGATGATCACATCAGGGAATATCTGGATAGGTCTAAAATACTCCATGAAGCCCAACACGGTTTCAGGAAAGGGAGATCCTGCGTCACTAACTTATTATCAGCTTGGGACGACTGGACATCATGCTGGGATATGATTGTTCCAGTCCATGTGACCTTCCTAGACTTTGAGAAGGCATTTGACACTGTTCATCATGACCTTCTCCTACACAAAATAAGCCAGGTAGGTCTAGGTAAAGCACTTCTGTCATGGTTGAAGGACTACCTAACTGAAAGGCAATTTTGTACCAAGGTCAATCGAGTCCAATCATCTTGGCACAGCTCGTCATCAGGAGTGTCGCAGGGTTCTATCCTGGGACCACTGATGTTCTTGATTTTTATCAATGATCCACCATGCCGTCTAAGCTGCCAGACTCTTCTATACGCTGATGACGTAAAGATATGAAGGGCGATAAAGTGTCCGGAGGACTCAGATAGACTGCAGGCAGATCTAAGGCTTCTGGAAGACTGGGCGGTAGCCAGTGGCATGACTTTCAACCTGAAAAAGTGTAAAGTAGGGGAGTTACGCACCTGTAGACTGCAGAATGCAAGTTACACCCTGTGCAACTAAAGCTTGTCCTTCACAACGTCAGAGCGTGACTTAGGTCTAGTTCTAACGGAAAAAATGGATACAAGCGTAAATTACACGTGGGATGTAGCGAGGGCATATGCGGTCATACACTTTACACATAGACAATTAGGTGAACTCACTCCTGAGCTCTTTCTAAGGTTGTACAAAATATATGTCAGACCACACCTTGAAGTGCATAATATTATTGCATCCCCACTGTTTAAAAGAGACGCCAACCTCTTGGAAAGAGTTCAAAGATGGGCAACAAAAGGAGTGGTTGGTCTCCGAAATAAACCATATGGTGAAAGGCTGAAGAAATTAGGCCTATTCACACTCAGTTACCGTCGCCTTAGGGGTGATTTAATTACTGCCCGCAAAATAACAAATGACCAGAATCACCCAAACAAAGGTGTTCTGCTATTGAGTAGGTATAGGCTCCCTCGTCGAAATCCCAGAAGGTTACCTCACCAGAGGGCAAGGACCCGGGTGCGCTCCCACTTCTTTTCACTGCGGGTTTGCCGTCCCTGGAATTCCTTACCGGCAGATGTAGCTATGGCACCATCTGTGTACGCCTTTAAGCGAAGGCTGGACAACCATGCGGCGACACAAGGACTTCATCCGAATGGCCTATCCCCTTAAAATCGCATACACCATTCAAAGGTAGACAATTAAACTGGTCGTTTTACTTCTTTACATTCTCTTCAATCTTACTCTCCTGACAGCTTTAACTACACATATTATTATTATTACTGGTATATATATAAACCGGTTGACTGACTGTTGTTACGTTTTCTTATTCTTTTTCTGTCTGTTAGTCTGAATACCTTCACTAATTATATCTGTTATTATTACTATCTCTTTTCTATTGACGACGATACCGAAGGACCAACTGGTGAAAGGATCAACTCCATTCACAGTAGTAACAGTCTTAACACACCTCATACTACAAACCACATATAATTAATCCCTGCACTACTCCTTTTGGAGTCAACCAAGGCTACGACAGTTGAGTGGCGGGACGAGCTACGCAGACGTTTACCGAAGATCAGGAACCTCTACCTCACAATCAAGGGGCGAGCACAAAGAAATCAAATTGGTTTATACTAGCTCGTAAAAATGATACTGGATATTGGATAAAGACCATTAGGCATCCAAATTGCGTCATCTCGTGTGTTCCACCGGTAGAACGGCTCCCATATTTTGAGGAACCATTTTGCTATGCTTGGTGACATTTACATCAACATGTGTCTCTCCCACAAGTAGTATGGTAAACACATTTATGCGCGTCAATTTACGCGTCAACTGGAGTATGACAATGAATTTGCCCATTCCACATGAAGATTTTCGTTGCGAGTTTCTTGCTGGGAGTAGTTTCATGACTGAGAGCATTGTGTGAATATTCCTCTCTGCTCTGGTAAATCATTTTCATTCTGTCGCTCACTGAATGAATTTGGCGTTGTAGGTTTGGTCAAGTGTTTCTTGCTGAGTTTAGTTTAGATGAAGCTCTTCCTACAGGGTGTGAGAACGGCTAAAAGTTACAGGCTACAGCCTCTATCATGAGTTTTGGGAGTAAAAGCTGGCGTGAATATTTGGTTGATGGCAGCATATCAGGCACCCATTTACGGGAGGTGGTAACTGTTTGAGCCTGAAACTAATGTTTTTTGCAGAGTGGAAATGCCTAAACTCTTCATCCTTTTGTGATTCTCAGATTGGGCCTTACTATAATATAATTCTGTTTGCAGCCATTCAGTTTCATTTAGAATTTCGGCTCTAAGGCTACGCATCCATCTCAATAAGGGCTAATTGTGCGGTTTCTGTAACAATTGGAATACCCCGTCTCTGCAGGATTAAGTCATTTGTAAGGGGATGCGATCCGTTTCCAGGCATTACCAATCATCTGATTTACAACTGCTCCTACAGCCTTATCGAGTGCATTTACCAGTAGATCAAGTGGAGCATTCCTATCAGGTTACTTTACGATCGTGGCTTTTGCCAATGCATCTTTCAGCTCTGCGATCGCACTAGCTGCATCTTTCGGCAACCGGAGGCTCTTTGTTTTTCCCCTCAACGCACTAATCGGGAGTTGCATGTGCTGCGCGCAACTAGGAATAAAACCTATGCATAAGTTGATCAACTACAGAAAACTTCGATGTTGAGTGAATTCAATATGTAGGAGATACTGCCTGATGTTATCCACCTCTCTGAGCATTAGCGCGATACCAGTGCTGTCAGTGACATGTCCTAGGAACTCTACTGTTCCTGTCCCAGAGATCTACCTACACAGATTGGCTGTTATGCCATAGTTTTCTAGTTTGCATTACACTGACTGAATTTTGTCTTCATGTGTGCTTACATCGGGTATAGAGATGAGTGGATCATCTGTATGCTCTTCGGCAATAGGCAATTCATGCAACAAGTCGTCATAAATCCTTAAAACATTTGTGCAGCATTTCGAGGACCAAATTGAATCCACGCAAACTGACATAATCCGAATGGCGTAGAAATGGCAGCTTTCCCTATTTCTTCTCAAGCCACTGAAGTGCTGTGGTAGTAAATACTACGGAGCGTTGAAGCATTTTAGTAATGACCGGTCATCTGTCTGGGACCGTTCGCTCATTCAGAGCTCTGTAATCACCACTAGAGTGTCAGTCGATTCAATTTTTCCTAGGTACCATGTGCAACAGGGAAGCCCACTCACTATTCAAGGGCCACACAGTCGATAGCTGAAGCATGTGGTTGAATTCCGCTTTCGATACACTCAGCTTTTCTTAGGCTCACATCCTCAGTTTAGCGAAATCTGTGAGGCCATATGGCTTCATGTTATGAGTGATTTTTGGATCAACCATAGAAAACTGACAGTTGGTTACTGTTAGGGATAGAAATTCCACTGGTGGTTTCCGGAACGTTTCGGTTGATACTGGCGGAGATTGTTAAACGACACTTCCAGGCACCTACCAGCAAGTCATGCCTTGCTAGGATGTCTGTGCCCGAGATTGCTTGGTCTACTTCAGGGTCTCTTCATTTGTGACTACTTGTCGTTCCCCTGGGTTTTGATGGTTGCCGTGACAGCACTAGTGGCAGCTTCTTCAGGGTCATATTTAGTATATCGTTGGTATCTGGCTTCTCTCAACTGGAGATAGACAGTGAATTTTCATTGAATCCAGCGTCTGACTCCGTGATGACTAATGTAGCACCCGAGCTGTTCAATCCTCTGCCAAGTTGACCCACTCCAGATTCTGCGATGAGCGTTGCAACTGTCTCCTATGTGACATGTTATTTCGTGCAGGATAACCACAATACAATTCAAAGGTTCCAATAAAGAGAACAGAAGAAGATACCCAGAATGCTGAAAAAAATGCTTTGCAGAAAACAGCCTTGAAAACTAATGACCAGCCAAATTTCAGTAAGAAGAACCTAAATTAAAGTTCGTATGTCGGCCTTTGTGGTGCGTCGGTGGCACAGCGGTTAGGACTCTCGCCGACCATGCACATGGTCCGAGGTTCGATCCCCCACCGACGCCCACCTGATATCTATGGTCGGCCTGCTAAATTTGGACTATCGATATCACATGCTGAAAATTTCATACTTGTACCAAAATACTGTGTGGAATCAAGCTATAATGAAATAAAAATAAATAAAATACGTAACAAGAGCCAAAATCACACAAGACAGTACAAAAATCCACTCCATTTTAAAGGGATTACAGTTATATGTATCACCATCATTAGAGCCAGCCAGTTAGGTGAATGACTAGTTTCAGTCAGTGTAGCGTCGTAATTACGACATCAGCTGTGAGCTCATACCCGCAAATGATTATAGTGGCAATGTCTCCAGCAACCATCATAGCTGCGAAGAGTGAGTGGCAGGACTAACCTCAAAGGAACTCATTACAAACGCGAAACCTTTCTTCATCACAAAGAAGAAGCACTTTAAAAATCGATTCAATTGAAAATAGCTTGTTAATTAATCGTAGACTCATTACCTTGATGTTTGATGGACATTGAAAGGTCACGTTTAGGTGTGTCTACGACCTTGGTAACAAGACAAAATCCATTTGTTATTTTCGGTGTACTATTTTTGTCAGGTCGTCATCTTGATTGATTCGGTAGGTGGGGACTGCATTACTTTTTTCCCGAAACATATTACATTTTGGAAAAATCCAGGTTTTATATGTTGGTGCCATTCGTTCTGAAAAATAAGCTTAACCGTTCTCAGCTCCCAATTGTTTTTATTTTTCTGAGTGTCTGGAGTAATTTCGAGGCGATGTTTAGTCTGGCTGTGAAAGCAAAGCAGAAATGTTACCTTACAGTCCCACTTGAAATTGTCGCTGTCCAAACTACCAAAGCTCTTGCACTGTCCGTATGCAGAAAATGATTATAACCACTAATAATCTCCCAGGATATCCTGGGAGTAACATGTGTTACTCTGTGATAACAAAAATATAACACTAGGAATATTATTTACGCTGACAGTCCACCTCTTCCGGATTTAAACTAGTGGTACCAAGTATCATTTGTTAAGTTTAAAACTTGTGTTTCATTACCTATTGCCCAGCTAGCAACGATTTCGGGCGCATTACAGACCTTTTGCGGCAGGCTTAGGTTCAATGTCCCACATTCTGCAATGCACCCGAAGTTTTTGGCCCCAAAAATTCTGCAGTGCGCCCGAAAAGAATGCTAGCTGGGTGTGAGTTGAATCAAAGTAGGACAAATGAAATCTCCCTTTTTATTGATCCTATGGCCCTCACACATTTCGTGGCTCTGATGATACCATCGGGATACTATCCAGACTGAATAAGGTGGTCAGGATTCAAATATCACACCTGCCGTCTGAAATTTGAGTTCTAAATCCACAGAAGATTGGGAAACTTTGTTCTCTAAAGAGCGATAAACAAGTTATGGGCCGAAATGACTAGGTGTAGTCGAAAAATTGCTAGGCTATTTAAATACATTAGAATAAATGTATCTAATTAGTAATTCACTCGTAATCCTGTCACTTGAATGACTTAGCAACCATCGTTGGAATCCAACTTAAAATCCAAACGGAGCTATGTATGAAACCTTGTATATTCTTCAAAAGTGCGTCAGTGGCACAGCGGTAGAATGCTAGCCGACCACGCAGGTGGTCTGAGGTTCGATCGCTGGCCGACACACTCCTTTACCTCGCTAAGCCAGTAATAAAACTGGTAAAGAAGGAAGGTTGGGCATGAGGCTGGCAGCCCCATCCCGTAAAAGATAAACATCACTGTTACTGAAACTTCAAGCCTGTAGCTTGAAGCCCTATCTTCCAATGGGAACGTAAAGGAATAAAAAAATATTCTTCACGCAGATAGCATACAAAAGTTTGCCTATTTTGTTTAGATGAATTATCTTTCTTATAGCTTATGCGATGAGACTTACATGTTGTTATTATGTTTTATGGTATAAGACGAAAGATTAAATGCTGTAGAAAATCCTGGAAATCGACTAAAAGATTTAAGTGCAGCTTGATGCTAATCAATTTCTAACTACCCATGTGCTGTATTTGGATGTATGTGGTGAGTATTGAAACTTGGTACATCTACTCTAAACATCATATTAACAAAATTAATTTCCAAATACATAGGTATTGCCATTGGAAATATATCTGATACTCTCTATCCAGAGCAAAGTAGTCATAGCGCTTTATCAGATTTAGGTAAAAAGCTTGTGGCACATTTTAATCCTTTTTTGTTCAGTATGTGTGCTTGCTTAATCCGCTTTTGAATGAGTTCACTGTGTGTGCAAAAGTCACTTCTTCTGGGAGTCTGTTGAAAGAGTTAATGGTTATGTGGAAGAACCAGCACACTATAGCGATATGGTTTTGATTTTTGTACTCTCTTACTATGGCCCCTAAGGTGTGCCGACTTGGTGTGACGTATAAGAGGAGATAGGTCAATTCTACAGTCACCTCTTAAAATTTTGAATATCGTGATTAGATTTCCTCTCTACCTTTAATTTGATGATAAGAATGGATTTCTAATATGAAGGATTGGTTATACCATCAGTCATACGTGTGATCTTTCTTTAAACACTTCCCAGTACAAATGGGTCCCCTTTTAGACAAAGGTTGGACGCGTGCAAGTAGTCTCTGGTTCTGACTTCACCAGTATTGTGTATAATGTTGTGAACATCCCACTTGTGATTCCAGTAAAGGCCCTACTTACTGCGATTGAGTGTCAGTGTGCCATAGTTTTCCTATTATGACTTACTTTGACGCCTGGGTTAGTGTGCGTCTGAACTGAAGGGGTCACGCTCCGACATTTGCGCACCGAGTGTGTGTGGTTGCGAACTTCGCTACTTTGATGGGAAGCATTCATTTTCGACCAGCCTAATAGTTTTTTGATGTGTGTTAGTAACTTAAGCATGGCGATGTTATCCTTCAGCTCTCTCCAACTTCTTAGATCATCTGCATAGATGGTCATAGGAGACATGTTGAGCTCAGGTAATTCGCTGATATACAAGATAGATAAGAGGGGGAGAAAAAATACCAGTTTCTTCAGTAATCTCGTCTGTCTATAATGAAATCATAAGAGTTTATATATTAGAATTGGTGTGGACTTCCCTGAAATCACAAATGTTTGCTATTTTTAATTTCGATATGAGACGATAATTGAGTTCAAGTTTCACAGTTTGGCTGGAAAGTAGATTGCAGTGTTTTCATTTCTCCTTCTTTCTGAAGTTCTCTTCATGTAGCGCAATACAGTCTTCACAAATAATATTTACTTTATTTGTATTGTTTAGTGTTGACTTCCGCCTACTTTTTTCAGGTAATGCTGCTAATCAATAAGGCACTATTTTTGTGGACGATATGCTGCGTATTTTTGTTTCTACTAATTTTAAAAGTCAGTGAAATTACATACTGGAATTGGTTTATTACGTTTATACCGATGTGGTTTCTGGATTTTACTTTACTTATCGCAACTATACTGCACATGTCTGGAAGGTATGTAATCGTCAGTTTGTCAACTGATAGTGAATAAATGTGGTTTTATTGTGTTCGTCTTACTTATGCTCATTATATTTCCTCTTTCTACCTTTTAGGCTTACTCAAATACTTGGTCGTTATGATTTGGGAAGTAAATTCAATCAGGCTCTGACACTAAGTTTTATCCTGTGGAAGTTGGCTGCAGAGATTACTCTTTGCTTGTATTTGGAGGGATATATGAATGTTGCTTCAGACAACCAAAATGAAGTATCCACTGCTATAGGAGTTCGGCAACCACAACAAATACCAATGCCAACACCTCCGAGACATCGGCTGGTTTTCGCGGTGTTTCCTTTATGGACCACTATGCTTATATGTTTATTAGCCGCGTGTAGTCAGATTGTAAATAACCGTATGACTGCAGTTTGGGCCTTCTGTGCAAATGAACAATCAAGTGAGTGTAATGAACGGCAGAAGCAACGAAAAATGGAATTTCCGCTGGAACATTGTGAAGCGAAGTAACCAATTGCCCTATGGTTTTCTTAAATATTTATTACTTGTTATTATGAAACCAATATAATATACCCTTTAAGAAAATATTATAATCTTGGGTATGAGTCCCAAGTAAGTTCTACCTAAACATCAGATGCCTTGTACAAATCTTTCTTTCTAATAAAAGATCTTCCGTATTGTTACAAAATATTAGTAATTCACCCTTCTGTCTTGTCACTGTACTTCATTTTGCAGGCAGTAAGTAACTTTATTCAGCAGTGACATCATGGAAGTTCGTTGCTTTTTACGAGAAAAGTGATACTGTGCGATGTTGCACTAGATTTACGATAAGGGAACTAATTCATGTTGTCCAGCTCCGTTTTTTACAGTCGATTGTTTTTGTAGTCGCTTAAGGACTGTAACTAATTGCAAACTGAATAAACAAAAGTGGATTACCAGCCAGATATTCAATCATAAGTGATAAAATAGGAATTCTGACCATATCGAGGCAACATAACTGAAGAAACCCTGATTATGACATTAAATATGTCTGTTTTCTTTCTAGATCACTAGTTTTCATTTTAGTGCCATTCTGCTCGTTGTAATTTGATTGCTGGTGGCTAGCAATGGAATCCACGATGCGTGTTTCGTTGTATATTGGACATGTCAGTGGGATGTAACTACATACTAGTGGGTGATGATGTTCCAACGCCAGGACTTTATTGAGAGATCCACCTCTTGTGCAACAGATATCACTTGTTATTTATGTTGTAAAATGTTATTAGACCCTTTCTAATATCACTTTATTATCTTCTTTCCAACATGCAACTAGCCACATCTTTTGGGTAGTTGAGTGCTGACTTGTTGGTGACGAGCAGTCACATGGGGTCATCAGTCTTCACATAATAACTTCTAAGTGCATGAAAAAGTACGTGACTATTGAATGGCATTCGTATTATTATGTCCTCTATCTATCAGCTCATGTTTATTTACTGCTTAAATTATTAGAACACTAGATTGGGAGGTACATTTCTTCAAACGACTCTGCCAGTCATCGTAGTCTATCCTTTCGTATTTGAGAAAAGCTGCTACGGTTTCTATCATTTTCTGAAACTATCAGCTGATCAGACGTCATTTGTATGACGTTGAGTATCTCCCACCTCAGGGTAAAGTGATCAAATCCTAACTAGATGTTTTGTATAAAATTTGGTTAAGCATTTGCCGTAATTGAATACCAAACTCTTAGCGCCATAAAACAGGAAAAAGTGATGCTACCCCAAGCATAAATTAATCTTGGCTATTGCTACGAGCTTAGAATCATATGAGAAAGCTGGTGGTTTCCCAGAGAGCTGGTATCTGTAACTGACTACTTCATGAACTAGTGTTATACCGTATGTTTTCTAAACAGTCCTGCTACGTCTAACATGGTAAACTGGATAAGACAGTGGGTAAACATTTGTAACAACTGCCCCAGTAGTTTCAGTCTATGGAAGTTCACAACTTAAGTTCCTACTCCTAACCTCCACACTACCTACGTGCTGATCATGCTACATACTAGGAAGGCTGCAACTCAGTTATTTTTCGTATAACTGTGTAAGGGTTTTTGAACTCATGGTGACTTTTGGTTATTCTAGTCGAATTAAGCGGAGTGCTATTTAAACGGATTATTTTGAGTTGAAGTGATTGTTCTATCATATGTAGACGTTTCTACAGAATCAACGCTAACACCTAAAGGTACACTGATCGTGTTTCATAACTACAAATTGGGCGAAAGCGGACCGCTGTACAATAGAAACAATCTCCATTAGTCATCCAGATTTCTAAGTGACGCTATGTGATAGAAATCAGGTGACTAACCCGCTAGTCTTGATCAACATGGCTAACAACTTCACTTAATAATGCCTAAGGAAGAATATACTTAGTTCTTCTGTGGTGTAAAAAATTTGTAGCATCTAACTAAGAGTAATATAGAGTCATAAGAGTATATTTTATACGAAGAAATTTGAATCTTGTGTTGATATAAGTATGGAATATGGGCAATGTGCTAGAGTATAATTCCATAATAGAATAACTTTATTCGATATTAGTTTGTTTATTAGACGTATCACACAGTGAAACAGTATTACTTACTGGATGACGTTTCGAACAAAATTTATTGCTCATAATCATATCAATTATAACCACACGACTTCAAAACTTGAGTTTTACAGTTTTCTTTGTTCTCTCCTATTTGTCGTACGGGTAGTAGAATTTTCCAGATATCTGAGACAGGTGCTGAATCATTCCTATTACACGTATTTGCAGTTGATCCGATAAACAAAGCTTCCGTTATCAATCTCTTCCTCCACCCTGTTACATCAGATTTTAAAACTGTCATCTTATCCCATCCTATTGTATGGTTGTGTGTAATTGCATGTAGTGCTATAGCTGAACTATTCTCTAGATTTCTTATCTTATTCGGGTCAACTAATCTAGATTTTGCTAAGTTTTTATGTTCGGCTAGTCTGACTGCCCCTGTTCTACTAGTTTGACCTATGTATTTGACCTGACAATCATTCCAGCAGGATATTAGATAAACTAAATTGTTTTGTTTTAAAGGCTCCACAGGATCCTTTAACCGACAAAGCTTGTTTCTAATTGAGTTTGTGGTTGGTTTGAATGCCACTTTTATTCCTGCCTTGTTAAGAATTCTGAGTAAGGTTTCCGAGGTTCCTTCCTTGTATGGAATTACTACTGTTGATTTAGATTCCTTATTGTTTGTGTTGTCTTGCGCATATTTGACATGCATGTCATCATTAATATTATTATTATTATCATTACTATCATTATTAATTTAATTTTACATTTCCCTACATACTTCCTGACTAATTTATCAGGGTAATTATTGAGTTTCAAAGCTTCTCTTATATGTATCACTTCCTGTCTTAGATTTTCCTTGGTACTACTTGGTTTTTGTGCTCTATTACATAAACATTTCACCAATCCTATTTTCACTGACATAGGATGGGATGATCGGAAGTCCAAATATCTGTTTGAATGTGTGGGTTTCCTGTAAACACTAGTGTTTAACTTCCCATCTTCTTTACTTTTTACGCTACAATCTAACATTCGTAGTTCCCCTTCCTGACTTTATAATTCATAAGTGAATTGAATTGCCTCCATATTTAAGTTAATGTGCTCGAAAAATCTATCTATATCCTGTGTTCTAAGTACAGTGAATGTGTCATCTACATACCTCCACCATACTTTTGGTGGGGCTGAACGTTTCAATCGCTATGTTTTCCCACCTATCCATGAATATATCTGCCACAACCGGGGATATTGGTGATCCCATGGCAACTCCCTCAGTTTGTTTGTATAATTTCCACTGAAATTTAAATACTGTCCAAGTCAGGCATAACCGTACTCCCAGCATTATGTCCTCAAGTGGCACTTTTGTCCTAGGTTCGAGTTCTTGGTCAGAAATGAGTTCGTTTCTGACTGCCTCTATAGCCATATTTATTCGTATACGTGTATATAAACTGACAATGTTAAAACTAACCATTTTCTCTCATTGTCTAATTTTAAATTATCTAATCTATGGTTTAGTTCATAAGAATTTGTTAGTCTACATTTTGAATGGCTTTTAAGGAGATTCAATACCATGACTAAATACTTAGATAATTCATAATTAGGTGAATTTCTAAAATCAACTATGGGTCTAATAGGGTATCCTGACTTATGAACTTTAACAACACCATACATCCTACTGGGGTTATTATTTTTGGGCATTAAATTAAACCACTTAGACTCACCTAGAAACGGCTTCATTCGACGTATAAGGTCCGTTGTGGATTTCTTAATCTTATTCAGAACGATGTCTATTGATTTAATAATTTCCTCATATGGTCCTGTTTGTATGTGAGTATTCACCTTGTCCAAATAGTCTGATTTGTCTAATATTACTGTTGCATTTCCTTTGTCTGACTTTGTGATTACTATATCCTTGTTATTCTTAAGGTGTTTTAGGGCTTCTATCTCTGGTTTTGTCAGGTTAGGCTTTCCACGTTTTTGTCGTTTTAATGTCAGTGCACATTGTGCCCGTACTTCGTCAGCCGTTGTTTTGTCTATCCCACTTAGTGCTATTTCTATTTTAGGGATAACATCCTCAAGTTTCAGATGGTCTACCGCTACATTGAAATTCAGTCCCTTTTCTAATACACTTATTTCTGTAGGACTTAATATATGTGTTGAGAGATTGATAACCCACTTTGTTTTATCGATCACCGTTGACTTTAGATTGCTGATTTCATCGTTGTGAGATGAAGATTTCTCCTCTAATAATTTATTGAACTTTTTGATTTGAGTATTTTTTGACTTTTTGAAAGTTACTGATTTGGCATTGCTAGAGGACTGTGTTATCAGATCATAATCCACATTGGTAACTATTCCCATTAGCTTTTGCTTTAACTGCTCAATTTCATATCTGATATGTTGCAACTTTTTGACAATTCTGTGGATCTCTTCTTTTAGGCATAATTTTTGTAGACTTTCTATTCTGCTCCTAACTTTATTTTGTTTTCGGTATAAGTCTGTGTCAAAGTATTCTTTATTTACTAATGACTTTCAGAGCACGATTTATCACTCATGATCATATCAGAGTATTCGCATAACTTTCACACTTTGTACATACAGTTATTTTGTTTATATTTCCCTTGATTTTGTTCGTAATAATGTTTTCCACTTCTGCAGTCTTGATGTTGCGTATTTTGTTGTTGCAAGTGTTGAGTGTATATTCAGTGAATAAAGATTCGGCAAACAACCTCTCCCTCCATTTGGTTATATTCATTTCTGGGACTATAACTCAGGCTCATACAAAATGTCATCAGGAAATAAACAGTACTATATCACTTTGTTTTCAATCAAATAAAATGATCCTACTAGGGACAGATTCCTGTTTCGTGGTTCTGAGGTTATTTTTTTTATGTTTCACCTTTATTTTGATGATTGAAGGAGATCAATATTCCTTAGTTTTGGTCATATTATCCCCGCCACTGCATATATATGTTTCTGTATCTTTTGCATTCTTCCTATTTAGTATTTGTTTACCAAAGATAATATGGGACAATTAAAATTAGCGAAATAAAAGACAAGTATGCTGGTATAAACCTCATTAATATAAAGGGAATTTCTGGGCAATTCTTTTAAATCAGGTTATTTTGGTTGAAG